TTTATTCAATAATGCTTTTTTTTTTCCTTTTTCCTTTTTATTAACAAACGCAAATTGGTAAAAACTATTTTTGTTTTACTCTTCAACTTATACTTTTATTTTGGAAACTTCAATCGACTTAGAAGAAATTAAGTTGCTTTAACGGGTGGATTTATGTCCACTTTGTTACGTATTGTATGGAGTTAAATTGATGTGATGTCGATTAAGACCAGTTTTTGCCTGGATTCGTTTGTGCAGGCCAGTGAGGCTTTTATCGCGATTTAATTGTTATGAATACTTGTTAGTCAGTGCAATATAAATACAGATCTAGACATTGGCTGACTGAAAAAACTTTTTAAGTAGAACGCAAACGTTCTCATTATGCAGGGACGAATGTGAAACACCCTTCGCCGCTTGACCTAATACAAATCTTCATTTGCTTTTATTACAAAGAAATACAAGATTTAGCCCTTAATGCTACATAAAAACTTACTTTCCTTAAGAGTCCCTATACGGGAAAAGGTCTACAAATTGGATGTGTGTGGGTCAAATTCAAATCAAAGAAAACATTTAATGTACTCCGTCATTTCAATTTCGATGCACTCGACCGATGAGTTTGTCTGCAAAGTTTACTCAGAAAAAAAGGTTGAGCAGCAGTTTCCTCTCTCGTGCTCTGTTTTTTTTTTATTTTTTTTCATTTAGAAATAAATGTCTTAATTTAATTTTTACGCAATTTATAATTTAAATTTACAACCAAGTATAAGGTAAAATAAAATAAAATACTGTTAAAGGACAAGAAAGATGGGGCAAATCCGACCCTTAAATAGGCTGCTACAACACTTTGCCTAATTTAATTATTCATCCCTCTTCGTGGTAATACACCAACTATTTTACTCGATTTTCACGTAAAGACATATTTTTTACGCTAAGCCTTATACGAAATGGAAATCAATAAATTATCATATTATATAAATTGGTGTGTGTAACTCTCCGCATTTCTTTTCTGAACTAATTTTCACCAGAAAATAAGAAAATTAGGGCCTTATAAACGCATCTTTTGCATGAAGACGCTTATGGCGGGTAGTGTCGCCAAGATAAATCTACATAGTTCCATTCTTATATAGTTGTTATTTTTTAAGTCAAATTACTATTATGAACCGAGTACTTCACAAACTATTGAAAGCTGCACCTTTCTTCCCATGCAAAACCTTATATTTCTTGAAAACCATTATATAATGCCAGATCCAAAAAATAGACCACTGGTGCAATTAATTTCTATTCAAATTACCATTACGGACCAATTTTCTTCACATAACTGCACTTTGAAAAGATGACATTATACGTGGAAGGGTCGAAAAAGTGGTGCGATACAATTCGGTTTCAATAGTGGTCGTCGCTGGGCCGATGCATGTAGGTGTAGCATATTTCGCCAAAACACAAGAGCAGGCATCAAACGGACAGACAGACATATAAGCTTAGATCGATTCAGAAAATGATTTTGAACCCATCGATATAATGAAAGTTGAGCCTGTCATAAATCCATTCGCATAAACTTGATATACCCGATGCCATAAATTGTGTAGGGTATAATACAAAGAAAGAAAAGTACGCATTTTACTCATTCCAAATACATCACATTGTTCAGTTGCTTGTCAATTTGTGGTTGCACAAACAACTCAAAAGCAATATCAACATCAACATCAACAACTTACAACTCTTCCGAATGAAAACTACAACACTCTATAAACATTCATTCATAGAAGATCAATCATTCTTTGTTATAAGAACTGAACCATTGCATAAACATACGGAGGAGAACTTTCTATCCGTAAACAGCAAAAGAGCAATAAATAGCAAGAAAAAAAAAAAAAGCAAAAGCAATTTAAATTTATGCAAATTTTAAGCCGCAATTTTATGGATTGTTTTCTAATAAAGACTCGAAAAGGAAAAAAAAAAACAAGAAGCAAGTCAGAATGTCAATTATATGTACAGCAAAAAGAGAGAGAATAAGATCGTTGCAACAGCTTCCTTAACTACTCCTTTACTCCTTTGAAAAATTTATGCAAATTGACCGCAGTTATCGCAAGATGAACGTGTAAAGAAAGCAACAAGCCACAGAGCAACAAGACGATCACATGTTACAATTACCTACAAGAAAAAATACAAAACAAAACAAAACAAAAAAAAATAAATAAATAACTTATGCAGCAAATAAAAATTTAAACACGTTCGCCGACATTCAGTCAGTCAGTGGTGGAATGAAAACCTTAATCTCATAAAAAGGTAGCAAAATCGAGTAGATTGATGCATTACCCAAAATGAATTATGTAAATTGCCTGAGAATTTCAACTCTCGCTAAGTGAAGAGTTAAGTTCGTTGCAGTTCAGTAAGAAGACAATTTGTACACACACAAGAGTTCAGCGCGATAAATATCTTAACAATGTATTAAAAAAAGAAAAATGAAAAGAAAAAAAGTCACAAACTTAACTTTTGATTTCCTGTTATGATAAACAGAATAATAAAATTACTTTTGCGAGCAAATAAAATCAATAAAAAATGATTTAAAACTTTTTAATGAAGATAAAGTTGTGTTAAATGAGAAGAAACTTACATTCACATACCAGATCTTCGATACAGTTTTTCTCTCTTAGCAATTAACGGAAAGCTAAGATTATGTGGACCGAATGGGCCATTAGTATAGGAAGCTTTTCTCTTTTTTTTTTATATCAGTGTGAGCAAGAGTACAACAACAGATTTATAATGCTTCTTCTGGTCTTGCCCGTTCAACTCTCTTGACTCGACTGACTTTACCCTATGCCTTAGGTGCAAGTTGCTAATAGCTAATGCCCGCATTACCTCTGTTGCCACGACCTGTTGCTATGCTTTTCGCCAACCGTCAGCCACATCAAGCAAGTAAAGCATCATAATCTTGTATTTGGTTTTAGTATTTTAACAAATTCGTTTCTTAAAGAGCAGGTGAGTTTTCATGCAGGTTCATGTTATCAAGTAGGTGATTTTCACAACAAAATTTTGATTGGGGTGGTTGCCCTTGATCAAGGTTTGTTGTGGTAAAGTTGCCTTTTGCTTGTTTTAGTACATTTTTTTTTACTTTTTTTTTTTTGATCTTGAGGTTAGATTAACCGGCCCTGTAAAACCAAAAAATTGAATATGTAAATGTGGGATTTTGGAGGTTATAGGTGTAGTCAAGTAATTAGACGATTGACAGCTTTAGTATTTAAGTGGTAGAGATTAATGTTATCAAGGTTGAAATGGAGTGAAAATTGAAGAGAAGAAATGTCTTTTGTCTCGCGAATTTAGAATGCATGCACTGTCAAGTGCATCAAGGGCAAGTTTAGTTAAATTGGCGCTAAATTGCCAATACTTCTTTTCAAATTCGTTAATTGATAAGCCGCAATATCCAGAGACGCAAATGATGTAGGGATAAGTGATTACGGAAAAAACAGATAATTAAAAAAGATATTATTAGCAAACATTATTAAGGCGTTTTTACTGTTGGTGAATATAACTACTCGCTTAAAATCATCTTCATTTGAAATATTAAAGGCATGAAAAATGCCGAGCAACTCGGTTGTAAGAAACAACACTTTTCTGCCTACATTACATAGGTCTGTTTGTGTGCTGTAATCAGTACAGTGCGTGAATTACTGATAAAGGCAACGATTACAGTAATAGTGAATTTCTTATTTTTGATATTGATTGATTATTCCTTCGAAGTAGCACACACAGAAAGTTTTTGCTGTTTATCCGGTTTTTTTTTTTTTTTTAGTTTGTAAATAATATTTTGTAGGAGTGCTTAGTACCTTATAAATGGACTAATGTTATCGAAGGCATAGTAAAAAACACGATGAGCAGCTGGTGTAGAGAAGGTGTGAAATTTTAATCGTAAAGAGAGGTATAAAATGCAGAATTAAACATGGCTGCCACATTTTCATTATTTATTTGCTGGTAAGATATATTGATCCCAAACAAGGAGGAAATTCATAATATTAATGGGAGTGATGAAGAGAATTATCCATCAGGAGTAGAAAGTAATTAATTTGAATAACAGATTTACGTTAAAAGCGTTTCTCTCTTTAGCAAAGACAACATTTATGAAAACACTGCTTGAAATGAAGCAGTGTTACCTATTCTTTTTAAACTTCGAAAGTTAGTTGAATACTGAATTCCCAATTTGTGTGATTTTAAAACTTTATAACTGTCAGCAAATGCCACAATCTTTGCAAAGTGTTGTATTTTACTATTTTAATCCACTCATATTTGTAATAATTGTAATGTTACGTGTGTGTGAATCTATTAATGAATTTTAATTTGGCAAAAACATGGTATACATTTCACTGTGTTTATCTCTTGGCTGGTAGATGCTGTGAAGCTTCTTCCAAATCTTCTCTGAGGTTTTGAAAAGTTTTTATTTATTTTAATTTCCTTTGTTAAAATTACAATTTCAGTTTACAGAAATTCATCTCCATTACTTGCAATTCGATCTTCTCCTACTGCGTTTCCTTTTTTCAAGTATTGAATTGAATTTTGATTGTTTCTGCCTTTCGAGAATTCTGTTGCAAATTTTAAAAGGAGAAGAAGTTTTTAACATTCACTTTTTTCCCAAAATAAATAATAAAAATTAAAAATTATATTTAACTTTGAAAAGCTTTAACCGCGCTTTAGAGAAATTGGCTTAAACATATGTTTAAGAATCAGGTGTTTCAATTGTACAATTTCAGATGTGTTTCATATCTTCCTCCTCTTAAACTATTCAACAAACCAACTGCCAAAGATTTTATTGCCATCTCTGTGTTTTATGTGTTTAAATATTTATTATTTTGATTTTTTCTCACTCTCTATATAAGCAGAAAGTTATAAGCAAAATAAATTTTACTCTCAGCAAGTGGATTTGACTCTCGGAAATATTGAGAAATATTTGCTTGGGCTGCTCTGCCTTCTCAACAGCTGATTTCACTCTCAAAAAACACAACAAAACCAGAAAGCCAACATTAAAGTTCATCAAATAAAAATTACTTATTGGCTCGTCCATCTGAACTCAACATCATTCAGCTCGACGGTATAAAATTATTAATTTAATTAAAATTGTAATTAAAAAATAGGTGTACAACAAATGAAACAAATTACACTGAAAGGTGCGCGGTATTAAGTGAATCAATAAATATTAGACAAAATTAAACTTTATTTTATAATTTTTTGTGTATACTCTTAGGAATATGTTATGAGGTTTGAAAGAAAAAAACTTAAACAAAAAAATTAAAGTATTTCAGGCGAAAGAATATAAAAAAAAGATGCACACCCAATTAAAGAGAAATAGCTTTAATTATTACAATTGATATGTTTACCCTGAAGCACGAAAAATTAACATAATTGGGTTTTCGGTGAATATTTATGAAGAAAGCACGTAAAGGAAATATTCGTAGTGCATCTGCAAGCATACACACAAACGTGTGTAGAATAGTGTACGTCAAAAAGTGCTTACATACTTAAAAGTATGGATTCGGTTAGTGCTAATTACGATGAATTTCAGCATAACGAAATTACAGCCATACCACGCTATGGTTTAAAATTGAAATTCGATCATGTCTGGCCAGAAAAACGTAATCAAAATGTACGGCCTTCCATTAAGCAAGCGCTGCCGCTGTTACCGTTAGCTTACAGGTAATTATTAGCTTGTTCTGTTTACTTTTAGCGATAAATTACTATATACGCTCAAAAATTAAGTGTGCAATTTGCTATATATTTTTATATCCATCAAAGAAGGGTGAGAAAGACGATATTTATTTTCTCAAAACATTTGTACCACTTGGACACCGCATAAAGTGTGCATATTCTTTGCCAGCATAAAACTCTAAACCGATTTAAGCGCGTCCGTCTATCTGTTCTTCTTTGCAATGTCCGTGGTAAAGATTATCCTGGTCATACAAATACAGCAATAGTCCTTGCAAGCACATTAGTACCGAAATTCAGCCAATCCCATCGGTCAAAGAATACAACCGTAGTACAGCGTGGAACAACTTTTAGTTTGAGAATAAAAAATATCTATTACTTAGAAACCTTGACAAATGGAACGAAAAAAATTTGTAATCATTTTCTGTAAGTGCTGCTGCAGCTCTTTTATAAAAATAAAAGTAATCGGTTACGCCTACTCGACATAATAGAATATTAAAATTTTGTTTCCCCCAGAAAAAAGCCTCAGAAATCACACAAAGTATAAAAAAATATTGTTGGTCACTTTTATGCAGTAATGGGTATAAATGGGTTTCTTATCCCGATTGAGCAAGTAAGAAAGTCGTATTCTCCTCATGTACTAAGCACAATTAACACAAATATGAACCAATACTTAGGCCAAAATTGTAAACCCACTGAATATACATATGTCTCAATTCTTAAGACGACGTCTTTTCTTCAATTATTGTCTGCCAAATTCTGAACCTTTTTCTTCACATTTTCTGCTAGGCAATGTCTATCAGCACAGTCGTTTCTATTGCTCAAACTGAAATTTTCCACATTAAGTTGGGAACCTTTTGCTTATTAGAAGCTTCTTTTTGTTGCGTTCCAGCTTTTAAACTTAATCTGTAGAAAACTTTCCTTTCTATTTCATCTTTTGCGACCGTGAAAGCCTTACGATAAAAGATGATAAACTGGCAGACGTACAGATCATATATTTTACGATTCATATTTTACATCAGGAAGGAAGGATTAGTGTAACCACATCTTAGATCAAGGGCAAAAGAAGTTTGAAATTGGATACGATTATTTCGGAAATCGCATGTCACTAACTGGCCTTAACATCGGAGATATATAAAAGTATTGTAACAACCCGGAAAGAAAATTAGTTTTATTACGGCAAGTAATTCGTAAAAAATTAAAGTTTTAAGAGATTGTCTATGTTGGAAATTTTTCCACCTTCTTGGCGCCTTGTTGGCCTTCTTAGTATTCGAACCAAAAGGTCCACTAAAAAGCACTCTAAACTGTAAAGATTTTCTGGAGTAATAAACCGCAGATCAATTGTTACTTGAATCAATTAACTCAGATATGTCTTAATCGTTTTCCCCATTCGTTCCGTCAGAGACACCTAAACCGGTTGTCTTATTTCTTATGGTCAAAGCTGTAGAATACTTCCGTAGTGTATTCCTATGAAAAACTTGACAAACGCATTATACCAACTGCGAAGTGTATAACCATATCTAACCAAACGTACTGAACGCTTATTGTAGTACAAAATGAATTTGATTCCACAATAATCACCTTGTGTGTAGACAGGAAAAACTTTGGCGCCAGGATATTTTTATTGCTTGCTTACTTTTATAGACAAATGTCGTCAGTTCGTCCGTCGTCTTTCATGTGCAAGTATCCGTATGCTTGAACAGAGTCATTGGCTTTAAATTGAATATTTATTGTATGCACAATTGAAATAAAAACGTTAAATTAGAGGAAAAATCATCTAGTAACGAAAGGCTTAAATTCCCATTGGACAGAAATCTCTTTAACTTCACAAATACAAAATGAATGCGAAATGTTTATATTTAACAAGTGAAAACACTATATAGTAGGATGCGAACCGCCATTAAATAATCTACAGCACTTCGTTTAATAGACCAACTTATATAAGACTTGTTCAAAATAAGGCTTTGTATGGGGAGTAATTCGGAAGCATTGGACCAAAACACGTCACTATAAAAAATTTCTTCAAAATATCTTAAAAATTGCAATATGAGAACAAGACAGACAGACAGACGGTCTGACAAGCTAGGTCGCGGCAAGGAATGCTTCTGAATTAATGAGTACAACAACAGATGGGTCTATTTCAAGCACTTCTGCGTGTTACATACATCCGAACAAAGTTAATATACGATTGCTCGACAAGTCAGGTACGGCATAAAACCAAACGCTGCGAACATTATTATTATTCGTAACTGCATTAAACCGACTCATCTTTAGCCATCAGTTGCTTGTTTTTGGCATTGTTTAGCGCATACATTTTCAATAATTGTAAAGGCCACTGAGTTCTTTTGGTTATTGAACTTTTAAACTTAGTCCGGCAAAATTCGATAATAATCTAAACGAATTCGTAACGAATTTTTTCACTAATTCAGTTAAAAAACTATTCTATGTGTAGTGGTTAAATAGAGTTTACGGAGCATTCTCGCATGCATAGTAAAAAAATGTTACTAGGCATGTAAAAGGTATGTAAAACATTGCCAGTCACGTCAAGCCTGGCTCTTAGACTCGATCGACTACTTACTTAGTTACATTCACTTTACAAACACGATTTCATTGGAAGAAAAATGGAAATTGCCAATCAAAAAATTCATAATCTTATAAAAAATCGCCGTTATTTGCGAACATAATTAATACACTCTTGATAATGACAATAAATCTTGTTAAGGAAAACTAATCTTGGACTCCTTGAGGCATGAAATTGCTTCTCGTTTGCATTTAATGCTTGCTCCTAACGTCTGATTAAAAGCCATTGCCCTCGATTCGTATTCTTGACATATAATGAAAAACTAATACTCAGCCTTCCTTTCTGATAAGAGCGTTTACACATACACATGCATACTCGCCTGCCATACAATGCGCCTGCAAAAAAATATATACACTATAGAATAACATTAAATAAACATTTGAGTTTCATTTTGCAAAAAAAAAAAACTTTTCATTTACTCTCCATCATAAAAAGATGGAAGTAAACAAGAGTTTAGAAAAGGATAAGGTTCCGTCGTCAGTTTCCCTTAATATGAGAGTAAACAATATTTTTTTTATTTACTCATACGTGAGTTCATTAATATTTAATTTTTCAGAAATGAATCTGAATACGGACTGACCTTACAGACTGGCAATTAAGTTCAACTCAAAGCATTTGAAATTGCAAAAGTTTTCTTTAAATATTGAAGACTTTGTGCTCTTAATTTAATTGACGTAGACGATGCGGGCTTATGTGGATATCTATTTTATCATCAATTAAAAGTGCAACGAATTTTAGCATAATAACTATAATTAATATGGTTTTCCTCTTACTTACTTACCCTCAATTAAGTCAATAACTTCTACTTCGGTTTGCTATTCTACCCTACACCACTTGTTGTACCAAATACATTAAGTTTATATAGACGCATGTACCATTCAGAATGACTTAAAATAGACCCACCTTTCACTATACCGCCTAAATCTGTCTGTCCGTATGAACCAATCTAACCAATAATTATATTCAGCACACGACTTATATTAGATCTAGTCACATCCATCTGTCTAATCGTTCAAAAGAGGCTACATTCTCCCTATGCTAAAAATCAGCTTATTGTTCTCTTAGGAAATGATTGTGCAGACCTTGCAGTCAAATCCTTCGCATCTTCGGCACCTTTAATTATGAACAGTACAATGGAGGAGTTTGACCTTAGTAAGTGTATTGGAAAGAAAAACAAAGAAAAAATTGAGAAAAAAAGTCGATGGCTGTACAATCCACACTACTGGCATGATAATCGTAATCTCTAACCACCCATATATCCAATCAGCGGAGAGAAAATCAAGACCTTTGGCCTTGATCATACTATTGCAGCTTACCAATGGATTTTTAAGAAATCTAATTCTCCAATATCTTAGGATGAAACGTATACTTTGTGAATGCCGCAATCTTTTCATTATTTGAAGTCGGAGTCTTCAACCCTATGGACATCTTGAAAGTGCCTGGAGAATATAATACCAATAAAGTACTTAACTCTTTTGAAACGCGTCCCTTATCCGTCTAGCCTAACTGTTAAAAAAGAAGATCCGCTTGCTAGTGCTTATCATAGTTTTTATACCTTGTGTGTATGGATGTGAATATATTAAGTTTGTGTGTATGAATGTGAACATATTAAGTTTGTGCGGATGTACGCAATACCTAGTAGGGCTAAAATGATTTGAGATAGATCCACCCTTTATAATATGTTCTAAGCTCTTCTGTCCGTCTATCTGTCTCGTTTCCTTGTGCTGAAATCACAGGCCGCGAGTTTTAAGATATTTTGATGAAATTTCGTACATCGACATATTTCGGCCCTAGGACGGACGCCATTGGAAACAGTTCGGGTCGGACCACTCTTTCGATCACTTCCCATGTAACGCCTTATTTTGAAATGTCGAAGTACGGATAACTGCGGGTTGGTCTAGAGTATTTAATGACAGTCCATGGCCCATTATAGTGTTTTTAGTTGTCTGGTCCTTGAATTTAAAAAAAATATATCGATTATCATCTTCTAGGACGTGGAATTCCGATTCAATATTTTTCTTATTAAAATAAAAAAGCAGTTAATTCCGATACATTGTTCATAATTGCTTCCAAACCATCTATGAATAAGATTGGATATGTAAATATAGCTTTTAGTGTTGCATATCCAGATGATATTAAATATCGTCACAGTATCATTTATCGTAATGTGGATGCCTTCAACGATATAGCTGCTCTTTTTAACTAGCTTGAGTAGATATTTCTATGATAACGAGTTAATTTTTAATTAACTGATAAAAAGTTATTATATAATTAATTAAAAAATGTACTAATAATTAATATCGGAATCTTAATTCCGCTCGCTTTCTACTTCTCTTAATGCATTTGACTAAGTGTAAAGAGTAAATTCCTATGTTAGGTTTTCGAGACAAACAAAACTCATTTACAATATTATTATAATTAAGAATATCCGGCATAAGATAATCATTATGAGAATCTTTTTAAAGAAATCCCCTTCCCACCTACAATATTGATTAATACTTTCGAATGTGTTTAAGAGTGTTTGACCTTAAAACGAGAAAACCGCAAAGAAAAGCTAGAAGCTTGAGTTTGTAATAAAAATTTGTGCCAATGAAAAAAGAATTTTTCTTCATCCAACGTATTCACTTTAATAATACATTTTCCTCATAAGGCCAACAGTAAAATGACATCATCATCACTTCATATACTAAAAATAATCATAAAAGAGAAAGGAAATATATTGTATTGTCAAAAATCCATAAAAATGTTGTGTGTGCGATGGCGATTTTTATGATTATTTGCATAAGTATTTGGTCGCAACCCTTCCATCTTGCTTTCTCTTATTTATCATATATACGTTCTCTTGCGCTTTATTATATTCAATTGCAGATATGCTTCATATTATTGGAAAGTCGCACGTGAGGGTAGACGTTGCTATATGGACTATTATTATATGGAAAATGGGAAACAAATGTACGGTGTACCTTTGGGCGGAATAGGGGGTGGCAGCATTGGACGAGGCTACGCTGGTGAATTCTGTCGCTTCCAAATGCGACCCGGCATATATGAGTACAATACCGTACACGCAAATCAATTTATTGTTACTATTAAGGATCAGAATGGAGATACCATCTTCCAAAGCTTACTTTCGAAAAACACCGGCTGGTATGTATACGCAAGAGATTAATATAAGAGTGGAGCATGATTATCAGTGACACCTGTTGTACTTCGGAATGTCACGTCACTTATATGCCAGTATTTGTCAATTTTTTTTTTTTAACCTTATTAAACATATGTCATAAAGTGTGATGTCATTCGTAGACTTTTCAAAACTTTATGAATTAATTTTAGTTCGCAATCCTCTGGGATAAGAGAAACTGCTTTATTACATTTCGCTTTTTATAGAACTAGAGCTTTCGTGACTTGCTTTGCATGTTGTATTTTTTGCTCATTTCAAAATGTACACATTTTTTAGAAATTTTTTTCTTTCTTTTTTTTTTTTTTTGTTTGCTCGTCTTTATGAATAGACAGACTTTCATACGCGACAAATGGCAGAATTCCTAAAAACTACTTTAATGTTTGGTTTAAAAAAAAAAAAAAAAAAAAAACCTATACATTTAGGAGAACATGGCATCAGGCCTATTGGAGAAAACAACATATTTTTTCTACACACAAGTGAAAACAATAATGAGACAGGACCCATCATTAAATACCCTACACCACTTCTTTTAATATAATTAACCATATATGGGTTCAATAGTGCATAGTAAAAGATTGGTTGAAAAGCTGATTCGATCCGAAACGTTTTCAATAGCCTTCGTCTTAAAATATCCCAAAAATATGCGGCCTGTAGGCTGAACGCAAGAAAAACAAATGGATAGACGGCCAGACAAGCATAAATCGATTCAGAGAGTGATACAGCAATCGGTGGATACAGTGACAGGTGAATCTATCTCACGTCCTTCTGAATATTGCATACATTCACACAAACTTAAAGGTCCCGTATATCACAACTGATGTAGGATTTAATGTAAGCCTTATCCACAAGAAGAAAGCAATTGTGACGACAAATTGCAAATTCAATTTTCGCAAGTTGTAAACCATACATACATACATCCATACTGTAACTAGGGTATTTAAAATTAATGAACTCTTTAGAAGCAGAAGGCCAGTAAAACTTTCATTAATATTTAATTCTTAAGCGTCGCATAGACTTGCATAACATGTGTTTTATAAAGATTTCATTCGTTTATTAAATAATTCTCACAGATGCAAAGTTCGTAAAAATAGCTATCAATTGCTTAATTCTTAACTTAATTGAAATAAACATAATTAGATAAAATTCAACGAAAAAGCAAATTAAATCCGCTTAGCGATGTATACTTGATTCCCATCATTTCAAACTAGACAATGGCAATTGAAAAAGCTATTGATTGACATGATGTTCGCACTTTCTTTTGACCTATCTCAGGAACTATAGACTGGCATTAAAATAATCTTCTTCGTTCATTGCGGGCGTGTCTGTAGATGAATGATAGTGGAGGGGACCTGGTTTGAAATTAGTCAAAACCTGTCACTCTATTAACTCCGTCGAATTGCAAAATCAATGGGTTAATTTACCCCTACTCGTTACCAAGCTAATTGAGAAATGATTTTCAACTTTTGGTTACATTATTTGCATTATTATTAAACAATACTACTATATATACGCCTCAAGAATAATTCCTTGAAAATAGCGAACGAAACGCCTTGCTCGAGTTGAACATGATTGAATTTGGGTAAAAGGTACCCGGTATCCGGCATCGGCTTCGTGTTTCGTGTCTTAATCTAGCTCAATAACCAGCGTCGTAAGCAAACAGCACACCCTTCACCACTTGTGATACATAGGTACGTTAAGTTTGGAAGGATGTATGCAACACAGCCACTAGATAGACCTAAATTTTTTTATACCAAAGCTTGTCTCTCTCCGTTTATCCGTCTTTTTTTCTTGTGCTCATCTTACAGGCAAGGCCGCAAATTTTTAAGATATTGTAATGAGATTCAGGACACTGAGGTGTTCTGGACCAAGCACGAACACTATTGCACATTTTTCACCCCACTTTCCATATAAAGACCGGAGGGTAGTGAAGGGCACTTACAGGTGGACCGTGATCGCCTACAGTGAAAGAGTTTAACGTAATTAAATTTTTTTTTTAAATAAAGAAAAGTGAAAAGAAATAATACTCGTAAGAGATAATAATTACTAAGAAATCAAAACGATTAAGTAATAAATAAATTTCTTGAAAACCTTATCTCTTATCGCCACATGAAAATTTTTCATTTTTTTCAAAACTGATTTAACAGATGTTATGCGAATTATTTACGTAAGAAAACGTAAATAATAGACGATTTTAACACTCTACCAGTCCTTGCCTGGCATATGTCAAGTTAGCAATTCAAAATTGTGATATAAAACATACATCAACGGTCACCTTAACCTATGCATGCTCAACCTTTCCCTCAAGCAGAATAAAGTCTACCAGCCTGTGGCCATGTCTGACCCAAAAGGTTTAAAAATCTTTGCTTGATGATTTGCTCTTTGATTTGATAAACAAATACATACCTATTAAAAAGATTAAAAATCTATCCTTATCATCTAATATTTAATCATCTATTAAGCTAAGAGCTGGCGATGATCAACGATCACTTTGATCCCCTTCTTCTTGCTTCTTTATAAGACTACCACAATGACAACCAAGAAGATAGAAAGCTGAAATTTGGTACAAGCAACCCTGGATCGACTCAACGTTCCTGAGAGGTTGAAAAAAAAGCCAGAAAGGGCGACCTTACACAAATTCGCTCTTAATAGATAAGAAACTTAAACAACTTTCAAATTAAACTCACACTTTTTTCATATTTTTATCTACAGTTTTCGTTCCCAGAGTTATTTCTCTGTTACCCACATATTTGTTAGGGCCATCTATATGTTCAGTCAAACACTAAGGTCAATCGGTTCATTAACATGTTCTCAGTTAACAATCAAATTTTTACACTAATTTGGTTTCATTTTACTACGAATTTATTTCCTTTAAAAAAGTAATAGGGTACCTTCTACTTGTAATAAATATAATAAATATGTTAAACGTGATTATCTTGAATAACAGGTATTTGCAAAGCGTCTGCTTCATGATTACAGCTTTAACAAAAAAAAAAATATATATATATAAACAAATAAATACTACTTCAGATAAATAAAATTTATTTACACTTTGATATTAAAAAAGTACAAAAAGTGTTCAACAAACTTAAAATGAGATATAAATGCTGACTCAACTATTTATTTATTAACTGTAGGTGGATTAGTTAATCGATCGGGGTCGTTTCTTATAGGGCCCTGTTTATGATTCTCGATATCGACTAAAATCGATAGCTGTGTATTTTGAATACGCTGCCCTGAGTAAATAGTTTACCGTCGGCGATCAAGTATGTATTCTTATATCCTACGCGCACACTAGCGGCCCAAGCGTATAATAAATTTTTCGTGAATAAATGCAACATATGGAAGGACTTGATGTACATCCACCTTTTATTATACCGATCGACTCAGAGTTAATTTGCGATTTGATCTAACCATGTCTGTCCGCCTGTCCTTTTTGTATTCTTATATATAAAGGATCAAATTGAGATAATCTCCTGTTCTAGTGTTAAAAAGAGGGAAAATGCTTTATTTTGTTAGTGGAAAATTGCCAAACTTCAACTTTTAAACAGTAATTAGCCAATATATAAGTGCGAAGTTGAACCATTTATTAACGTTTTGATTGTATTTTACATAAATTAGATTTTCGGGCATCAATTTAAAGTGTTCGCGCTTAATAATCGCAACTATTTTTGTTGAGGTTTTTATTTTTAGGACGTTCAAAAGACATTTAGAAAGAAAGAAAATGGCGAGCGTGCGACATTCTGCATTTGTCTTGCCTGCCTATCATGTAAACAAGCTCCGATTAACCGTAAACATTGCATGCTAATGTGAACAGCAACGAAAGCATAAACAAAATTAAGGAGTCGACTTAGTAGATATATTTTGTAATATATATATATATATATATATATATATATATATTATGTATCGCAAGGCACGCAAATAAATAAATAAAGGCTCTTCTATAGGCTATATAAACAGACGAGTATCATTATGTATCATACACTCAAGTTATTTTATTATTATACTTTTCTCTTCTTTTCGCTTTCGCATCAAATTTAACACATATTCTATCCGATTTCTTGAAATTCTGTTAAAACTATTATTTGCCTAAAAATTATGCACGAAAATGACAAACGGGAATGCGATAAATCTTGGAAATGGCCTTTTTCTATATGGTTTGCTTTGGTTTTAACGAATGCATTACGATTTTTTGAAATAAGTTTTCATGAATCAGGCCTAGATTGTCGTTTAACTAATTGCAGTATTACGCGCTCCAAGCAGCCGTTGAATTCGTGGCACTCGAAAATGGATGATAAAAACTGTCTCTATACGGGATTGTATCCGCGCTCATGGACCGAATACGATCTCTCCGAGCACGGTATACAATTGATATGCAGACAAATATCACCAGTTATACCGCATGAATATAAGGATTCATCCATACCGTGCGCCGTATTCATATGGACCGTCGAGAACGTAAGCGATGAAGAGCGTACCGTTTCTATAACATTTACCTTCAAAAACGGTACCGGTAATAAGAAACAGGATGCGGAAGGCTTGCCATCTTCTTCATGTTTTTGTGAGGGGAACGCCAAGGGAGTGATTATCAATCAGAAAATTGCTGATATGCCATGCGCCTATAATTTAGCTTGTCGAATTCTTCCCGAAATCAGTATTACGCGTTGCACGCAATTCGATCCAATGGGAAGTGGCGAGCAATTGTGGTCTCAATTAAAGGAACAAGGGCAACTAAATGAAACAGCAGCTGACGAATCTTTAAAATGTAAGAAACGTATATAATATAAATTATTTGAAAAAATTGTCTAAAAAGGCCACACATATATTTTTTACAGCTAAGGATCTGGGTGTGGCGATTTGTGCTAGAGTCTCTTTAAAAGCAAAATCATCTCACGACTTGGAATTCGTTTTGGCTTGGGATATGCCAATTGTACATTTTCCAAAAAAACTTAAAGCTTATAAACGTTATTATACGAAATATTTTAACGCTACTGGTGAATGTGGTCCAAAATTATGCGAATATGCCTTGAAGCATTTTGGCAATTGGGAGAAATTAATTCATGCCTGGCAGCGGCCAATTTTAAGCGATGAGTAAAGCTACACACTAAGTCTTTTAAATTCAATAAAGTTTAATTAACACTTTTCCACCAATAGCGGTTTACCCGAATGGTACAAGTCGGCCATTTTCAATGAATTGTATTTCATCTCCGATGGTGGTTCGTTATGGCTAATGTGCGATTCGTCATTAGGTGAAGAGTTAGACTATAATGATCCTAGGTACATTTTTGATAGCAAAATAAGAAATTTTATAATGAATGCTTGCTCTCATATTCGCAGATTAGCCTATGGACGCTTTGGTTTATTAGAAGGACATGAATATCGTATGTACAACACATATGATGTGCATTTTTATGCCTCGGTTGCTTTGGCCCATTTATGGCCCAATTTACAGGTTAATTTGCAAACACTTTGCAATTTTCAATATTTAATCTTCAGTTATTTCAATTTACATATTCTAGGTTAGCATTCAGTATGACTTCAAAGATGCCATATCCGCTGAATTGCTGGATGCCCGTAAAATGTTATATGATGGTAAAATTATGCCACGTAAAGTTAAGAATTGTGTACCTCATGATTTGGGTGATCCTGATGAAGAACCTTTCACTCTAATTAATTGTTATAATATACACGATGTTAACGATTGGAAAGATCTTAATACGAAATTTGTGTTGCAAGTCTATCGCGATTATTATATATTGAACGATCTTGCTCAAGCACAAGCTGATAATGCCAGTAAATTTAGTTCTATTGAATTTATAGATAAGGACAGTTTATATGAAATGTATTCACAAGATAATAAACGTAAAAACTCAGCCGAAGAGAAAAAAGGTGAAAATAACAAATATTTCAAGTTTCAACTGAAGTTAGTTAAAAGTGTAACTAATAAACATTTTTAGAAAATCGAAAATCCGCTTCTATGTACATCAATGAAACAAATGGTAAAGTCTATTTAATGGATGCCATTACTTATCTTAAAGCCATGTATCCAGCATGTAAGGCTATCATGGAACGTAGCATGGAATATGATCAAGACAATGATGGTTTAATTGAAAACAGCAAAATGCCAGATCAAACATATGATTCGTGGGTTATGGATGGTCCTAGGTAAGGCTTGTTATTTTAATCATATATCATCGAATTTAATTTGCAGACTTTCTATCTTTGTATATGCAGTGCCTACTGTTCTGGTCTTTGGTTAGCAGCTTTGCAAACTATGGCAACTATGGCCACTCTATTGGATCAACCTAATGATTTTTTACGTTATCAAGATATTTTGGAAAAAGGAAAACATTCATTAGAAGAGAAACTCTGGAATGGCCATTATTACCGTTTCGATACAGCGCCTGGGCACAAAGATACAATTATTGCCGATCAATTGTGTGGTCATTGGTACTTAAAAACTTGTGGTTTTGATTACGAGGTAAATTTTTTCTAAAATTTTAGATTAAATAAGTACAATTTCCCAATGCCTTTATAGATCTATCCAAAGGAGAATGTACGGTCTGCTTTGAAATGTATTTACCAAAACAACGTTTTAAGTTTTCACGAGGGTAATATTGGTGCGGCAAATGGTTTCATAACTAATCATTCAGACCCTACTAAACCGGGCCACGTAGATACTAGCAGTATACAAGCCGAGGAGGTATGGACTGGAGTTACATATGCACTGGCTTCATGCATGATACAAGAAGGTATGTTTGAGGAGGCCTTTCAAACAGCTGGCGGTCTTTATAGAACTATTTCCGAGAAATGTGGAATGAATTTTGAAACTCCGGAAGCGTTTTATGGGGAAAAACGTTACCGCTCCATTGGTTATATGAGAGCTTTAAGCATATGGTCAATGCAAGTAGCTTGGGAAAGGCGTAAAGCTCTAAGAGACTAAATCATTTTAAAATCGCTTATCATTCTTGTTATTTTCTTCTTTTTCTTTTTCTTTTTTTTTTTTTTTTTATTAGTTATAACTGAACGTAAACAATTGTTTAAAGAAATTTTATGGTGCAGGAAAAGTACAAGTATTAGACTTTTTATGTTAATTGTATAAGAGAAACCAAAGAGTTAGTTACTAGAAGAAAGGACAATAGAAATGCATATGCAATGGAAAGGTAAAATCTAACTCAATTGTTAAGTATTGACAAGAAAAAATCCTAATTTCTGTTCCAGAAGAAGCTATTTTATTTTCTTCCCTTTTTTTGTTGCTTTTCGTAAAAGAAAGGACAACATTTTTAGTAACGAAATATTTCTTAAAAAAAAAAAAAAGAAAAAAAGATAAGACCCCGCCTCTAGAATGCATTTTTAGAAAGGTATTTTTTAAACTACTTGAAAAGAGCTTATGGTGCAAATGAAAAGTGCTTTGATAACAATTTTAATGATAGAATTAATGGAAAGATTTTTATGTATTCAACATAATAATAGAAGTCTCTCATGCATTTAAAAAAGAAACAGTGTTACAAATTTATTTTAAAGCGAAACAAATATTGAAAAATTATTCAATTTTTACGTTTCTGTTTGCGTACTGCTTTACATCACAAAATTATTGTTTTTTCTTTTTTTTTTTTGTTTTTTTTTTTTTTTTAGTCAAATATAGTTGAAGTATCACATGTTATTACTTAAAGCTCTTTTTTATTGCATAGTTTTTATTTTAAAAATACTTTGTACTCATTAGCAAGCATTTTATTGTTTCGTATCCACCATCGGCCAGTATAGCTTAATAACTATATCGTTCGTCTGCCTATTTTTGATATTTTCACAGTCATAAAAGTAGAAACGAAATACGCATATATTCCCTGATAGACTGAAATTAATCTAAAATATTTCTCGAATATTTACCAGATTTATAATTGCTGTAAAAATAACTTGAGATGGTGGATGCCCAATATTCGCCTCTGGACGAATACAGTATTTTTCTATTCCTTACATTTGTTCATTAACTTGAAAAATTTTTTCATAGAGCACAAATTTTATTACAATGTATTTACAGAGAACAAAAATTTAACTGATATATAAATGTTTACATGTATATTAATTAATTGTTTGCAAGTTAAATATTTGAAACATGTGTAGTTATGTGTATGTTTTAAATGCATTTCAATTCAAAAATATATTAATATATGAAAGCATGGTTTAAAAAGTGTCTTTACATTCATTTTAATTTAATTTTTGACAAAAACAAAAAAAAAAAGAAAACCCACAACAACCGCTACACGCCAGCAAGTCTAAAGACGACAGTTTTTATGCAACGTGCGAAAATATATTGTAATGGTATACATGCAGTTTTTAAATTATACTCTTGCTATTGAAATATGACATTAAACGATGATATCATTTGCATAGAAATTTCACGAATTTTAATAGAAATAAATTTTATTGGTGTTATAAGGATGTGCAGCTGTTTCGTTATATTCAGCGAGGGATCTGCATCAAACTAAAAGGAGTAATTGATTTAGTGATCTGCGTAGCCCGACCCATTCTCGCGGCGCATCCTGAACTTGAGGGGCTCTGTGGCATGCACTGTAAGCGGCGCACTTTGAAGTTAACAAAAAAAAAATTTGGTGTACTTACTATTAACTACTAAGATGTATAGGCGATATTACAAACATTTTGTTCTGTGTACATTCGATTAGTGTCTAAATGCAAAAACTCGTATTTTCGACCAGAAAAGAGACAAACATTTGTTAATAAACAGCGTTTAAATGGACTCATCTACTCCGTACTTGATCAGGGAATGATTTCATGAAAATTGTTACGAAAAGTGCCATTTTGTGAAAATTGTGTTTCGGGTAAAATTGAAATGTTAAATGTGGACATGTTTCCTTTATTCTTTTTTACTATTAGCCTGCAATGGTAAGGTCATACAACTGCCCTTTCATGCATTCGGAAATACAATCCAATTTTCCAAAACCGTAGATAACGATGATGAATTTTATGTAGATGCTTTCAAAATTGGAATGGCTTGTGAGCAATTGCGAAATAATGCCCTTATAACAATTGCATTTAATTTTTTTTTTTTTTTGTTATCATATTTATTATTTCAATTTTGTTAATACGCATAAAACTACATGTATATAAAAAATATAAATATCATCTTTATTTATAAATTCTTTAAAACTTATTTATAAGGCGTAGCGAATTTAATATCCTACTAAAGTATCACAAACAAAAACGGCCTGAAAATAAGTTCAACAAGAACACGGGAACTACTTAAGAAAACACGTTATTGTTATTATAAACTATCGGCCGGCCAGGGAGAAGCGAGTAAAAAGAGAGAGAGAGAGAGGTAGGGGCCATAGGCTATTGGATGTATGCCCGCCATGCTTCGACGATGCCCGCACCGTAGTTATGACCGAAGTAAATTCAACCGCACTTGAGATTTGAACCCGGACAGCCGCTTGTACATAAAAATTCCAATTTATCAACGATTAGCTTGCATGAAGGTGTCCCGGTTTGTTTTCAATAAAATTTTGGAAATCAAAAAAAATGGAAACTTATAAAGAATCATTTAATATTATACCATGAACGCAGCAATTCAAGTCCAACAAGTAAGATCTACTCTAGTGTTTCTTTTATTTGATTCCTTTTCATCCACATTTCTATCCATTTTTCGTACTGCATTTTGCTGCGACATATTACCACTAAACTAGGAGGACGGCAACCTAATTGTTTTAAGTGTTCCACACGCTTTTTTGTAGTTTCTAGACTGTTGCATAATACTCGCGGTACTTGTGATATTTCCAAAGTTGAGAAACCAGCCTCGTCAAGCAAATAGTCGAAAACTTCTTTAATTTTTGTCACTCGCACCGTATTCACTTGATCGTAGCGCTTCATTATAGCGCGAGCTTCTTCAACAGTAACTTTTAGGCGTTCAGCTACATATTCGTCGGCGGTTTGTTTATCGCCTAACACCTCTAATTTATCTTGAGTTAGTTGTAAAGTCCTAGCAGAAATTTGTTTTAAAAAATTATTTACTATGTAGAGATAAACTTACCTTTTTAAGGTCGATTCCGGGCATTTAACCATCCAAGGCATTATCCTATCTTTTTTCCCTAATGCGGCACGTTTTAAACGTAACTCTACCACGCTAGGCGCGTAAAGAAGCACCCATAAATCTTTTAATATGTTCATAGGAGCCACTTTATAATTAAGCATGAGTTGCAGGTTTTCTTCAAGCATATCACAAGGCAATTCCAATACGAATAAACGTTTGGCCACATGTTTATTGACAATATAAGGGTCCAAGCCTAGTTTTTCCGATATATAATAAGCCCGATTACCATATGCCAAGTATTTTTCCTCACGATTTAAACGTGCAATTATTCTACGTAAACGTGACAATGGTACACGTAAATATGCCACAAAGTCATTAATGTCTTTCAATCCGTTCAATGTGCGCAAAAGAGTTAGTTTATCCCTCATACGCTCTGCAATAACAAACAAACAAATCTATTACATGGCGATTTATCAAATTACTTTACAAAATGGATTTACTTGTTTGCAGTGTTATAATCCATGGAAAATCTATAAAACATTTTTCTTGGATACCAGCCTTGTTTAAAATTTCTATATTACTTATTGCATATCCTCCTTTTATCTTTTCATGGCCCTCTTTATTTAGTATCTGTTCAATTTCCTCTAAGCTTAAATTGAGGCAATCTTTTAAAGTTCTTTTCACATTTTTAACATATGGACGCAAATCCTTGGATTCGCTATATGGCACTATGTAGTTAGTCTCCAAATCTGAGAGTCCATCATTGCCAGAAGGAGCGACAGGTGCGAATGTCCGTCTCATTAACAAGGCTTGCACTACTTTCCCGTAGTTCAATGGCAAATTAGATTTGAAACCGCTTGTTATTCTAGCAAGCATTCTGTTTTCCTTTTTTTGGTTATTTAAATCGCCTCCTTTAAATTTATTAAAAATTGTTTATATATATTTTTTAGTTAGACTTCTGAAAACCATTCACAATGTGATTTGCAATAACAGCTGTTGAATGTCAATACTACTGTGAGAGCAGCAAGGAGCTACTAATTGACAGCGATGGAATACCTCAACTTTTGGCCCCCGTTTATATTCTTTGGCTCCACGTATCAATGTTGGACCATGGTTTAGTTTTCTCATTGTGGGCGTCGACATCATATGTCTCATCAAGAGATTAAAGTTCAATCACAACAGACAGAGGTGATCATATATATAAAAAGTATATATAATAATCACTACTACATTTGACCGATCATCCTTCCTTACTGTTCAGCGTACCCTGCTCTTCCCAGCCTCACCATCTATCATTAGCTATACTTCGTCCTCAAAACTTGGCGGTTTGTTTTTTCAACGCGGACAACTTAAACATATAGATCAAACTCCAAATCAACTTTTACACAGCCAACCTTTGCTACTCATTGAGAACACGCCTTCGATCATTTTCCAATATACCACGCAAACAGACACTTCTCAAAAAGGGGAAGAAATAAAAAAAAATATAAGAAAATAAATAAAAAATGTACAAAAATATATACTAATAATAACAGTTATACTAATAATTATATTAACAACTCGAGAGAATTCAAAAAACCAGAAAAAAAATTTAAAAATAATAAAATTTAAAGACAAAAAATGAAAAAAGATATATTTATCATTAACTAATAAGAACAATGTGTAAAAAAGCTAATAACAAACTAATAATAAAAACAGCCAGGACGGTCGCAACACTTGCGAGAAGTAAAAGTATTTACTAGCATTACCGGATAAACATAAACATACAATTTTAAGTAACAATTTAAATAAGGGCCCGGGCGGGCCGGACAACCCGGACAAAGAATGCGTCTTTTCTTTCTCGTTATCACAGAGAATGGCTCAATGAGTATTCAAGAAGAAGCATAAATTTAAATAACAAACATTAATTTAGAAGTAGAAGAAGAAAATATTAAGCAAAAGGCGGAACAATATTCAATAATTTTAAAATTATAGGTGTCATTTCTCATTGGCTTCGTCTAGTATAACTTAAAAGAAGTGAAAAAATATTCAATAATTTGGTTTTTTCCGCAATTTATTTTTAAATCCCTAACAATGAGCTATGAGCTATGTTCGGCATTGCAATGTAATGTCTGCCTAGCATTTGTTGCGTTTCCAGAGCCGAATAAGCCAACAACTGAAACCCAACCACCAATGCGTGCGTGTTCTGGGTGCCACTTAGTAAAATATTGCGGTAAAGATCATCAAAAGAAAGACTGGCGTTTTCATGGAGAATTTTGCTGCGCTGTTCAACGCATTAAGAGTGCTTACAATGTAAAGCATCCGCTGCATTTATCGAGTAGTGGTCGAGAACCCGAAACAATTGAAGAAATGGAGACTGCGCAAATGCAGCTAAAGTTTTTGCTTACTGATACTTTAAAACGGCCATTAAAGACATATGAGGAGGAAATAATTTCATTTCCAAGCGTGTGCGGTGTCTGTGTTAAACTGAAAGACTCGCATGTTTGTCCGCATTGTCGATCGCAGGCGTATTGTTCTTTACAACATTTAGCGGAACATTCAATTGAACATAAAAAAGTCTGCCATTTATTGCGACTATACTATTGTCCTTATAAAGTAAAAGAGCTGCCAACTGATTTTAAATTGAACTACATTGGAAGAGTTAATAATTTGCATAAAAGTAATTTAATGACAGCATTCGAAACAGTTTTCAATTTAAAATTGCCTACAAAACCCTATGAAACATTAAAAGATTATCAATTGTTTGCCTACGCTAGTGATTTCAGTTGCATTGCAACAATATGTTTTAGCATGTGCCATTTGGATATACTGTCCATGGAGACGAACAAGTTTATTATATACATTGTGGGATCGAGTGTTGAGCCGCGCCTTTGGTTTCAGAAAATTCACACACAATTTTTCTTTATGCAGTATCCCCTTTTCACAACATTAGAATTGCATTTTATTGGTCCAGAAACGTTAGAAGCGATGGAAGAGAACATAAAATACGATTTTCTGGTAAGGTTTCCTGAAAAAGATGAAAACAACATTTTTGTTCGTGATCGTAACTATGATATAACTTTTGCAGGGCCAAGAAAGATATGTTCACTATATATGCTATAAAGGATTATTTCAGGAGTACGTTAGTTACTTTAAAGGTTATCCTTCGCTAATTGTTGCCTTCAATTGTGGATTTTCGGAGTATTCGCAACTTTTCAAGGGGAATCCAGCAACTCCCAAACTTCCCACACTCCCAGCTGCAAAAAGCTGTACGACAACTCCCACATCGTCGACGCAGACTGATGCTTGGCAGAAAGGCATATGGGAAATGCTGCTTTTCTTTAGAATACCAATAGTTTTCACTTCTTTCACAAAACTAGAGTCAGAATTTGATTTTGCTGCTTTGAGAAAAGCGGCTGATATTGGAACTTTTAAAATGCACGTGGAACGAATATTTACGGTATCAAAAAATCCATTCCACGATCTTCGTCCTCTTAGGCAATTTCATAGTGATGATGATGAAGCATTCTATTTTCGTAACGGATACATACAAGCTATACATACACTGTTAAAAAAGTAATTCCCTTCATATGCTTAAAATTTTTTTAAGATTTTTAAAATCAATAAGCCATTTATTTTTTTTTTTTTTTTTTTTTTATTAACATATGTAATTGTCCTTTAAATTTTTATAATCGTTTTACCTGTCAATAAGAAAAAATATCATCACAATCTTATAATGTATTATATATAAGAAGCGCTTCGGTCCAAAATTCTATTATCATTTCTCCGAAAATTGTAATGACTTTCATCTGCAATCATTCATGTTTTCATTTTTAACCTAAGGTTTAGTAATAATCAGTTGCCAAGATCAGCGGTTGTTTAATATTTGTAATCGATAGTCATAAGTTACAATTGTCTCAAGCATCCAGCATGTTTAAGTATTTCTTATAATTATTTGTCGCAAAAGAGAGTTACCTAAGATAATCAAAATTATATTTTATTCTTTTTATTGTTGTATTGCTGTATTTATTGTTATTCAATTAGTTCCTTTCATATATTTCTATCACATTTTTCACTAAATTAACATCATCAATATACTAAAAAAAAAAAAAAAATTAAAAAAATAAAAACGAAATATAAATGATAAGGAAAATATAAAAGTAATAATAAATTTTTCTTATAAATTGAAAGAACAAAGGGAAATATTTAATAGTAAATTACAGCAACAAGCGATTACTCCACATCGACTTCCTTCAATACTTTGCGTACCCAGAATGTAGCGCCGTCCTTTGCTACGGTACCGACAAATTTTACTTTACCCTTATAGCCGGCCGGAGCAATCCACTGAAATTCAACTTTCGTAATTGGATTATCTTTAGGTATCTTCTTATGGGTCAAAGTGTCCTGCAAATATTAATTTAATGTCATTTTTTAAATGAATGATGAATTGTCAGATTGGCGCTTTATCTTACATCAGGATTAGAACAACTTAAAGTTTGTGATTTATTGGATTCGACAATTTTGAAAGTACCGATCGGTTCTCCTTTCGAATCGTGCGCTTGAATGGCAAATCCTAAGAAGTCGCCACCCTCTAAAGTGATAGTGATTTTGTCACCCGATTTGACAGTATTGCCTCCGGAAAAGCTATAGGGTACAGGGCTAGTTTGGGGATCGACATGATGTTCGGGTGTTAAACCATTCGTACAGATTTGTTGGGGGCCTCCAGTTGAATAACCCAAAGCTGGTACAGCCAAACAAACGGTTAACAATACAAAACGAAACATGGTTAACTAAATGAACGAAAAGAAAAGCAAAGTTATGTAATTAAAATTAACAAATATATGTTAGGTTGTTTTCCTCTCCCTCGCACGAAAAATACTTCTTCTTTGTTTTTCTTAAATGAGAGGGAAGCGACTTCTGCCAAATTATCATAATTTAATAATTAAGAAATTATTACTTTTCCTGGAATGAGTCATGAATTCCCTCTACCCAAAATAAGCTTGTATTGAATTAATGCGCCGATTGACATAGGATTAAAACACTTTGCTTTCCGTATGTTTACGATAACAAAACGGTTAACACATCTTTGTAGATAGATGCAATACATTCAGTTTTTAATACACAACATTGCATATGTAGCTTGCTTCATTTTTAAGTAGATTTACCCCACAACTTCCACATTTTTGAAAGTTTACAAGAAAAGTCAAGGAAGATAGGTTTGAAGTTTAGATGCTCACGCCGTAAATAGCCACCTCAGTACTTGATATCTGCTAGTATGAGTCCTTGAAGAGTTATGACTTATATATCCTTCACAATTTGAAATAAAAGGTTAATCAAAACCAGCAAAGCCATGTTTAACCTATCACTAGTATACAAGTATACTAACTGCAGTTAATGTTTGCCAATAACTGGCAATAGACATAATAAAAATTAGTTGCGAAAAACAAGAAACTCAAATGACATTATATGAACTGCGATCTAAGGTGACAGCAACAGAAACCAAAATTCGCAAAAAGGAACAATTTTTCCTACAAGATTTTTGCAGAATTTTTTTTAAGGCGGACATATAAGCCATATTTCTCATTGGCTTATTCCAAAAAATGGAGCATTTTTGCAATGCAATGCCTGATTAGAATTCACCTTTAAATTAAAGCTTTTAGTTTAGTTGATGTAGCAAAATTAGGACACTATGTTAATTGCTTGAATGTTATTTACATCGATCTCTTATCAAATTTTCCTACACAGATATTTTGTTAACATCGATCCGTTATCAAATTTCTATCTGCAGAAATGTTATTAACATCGATCTCTTATGAATTTTACTAACATGTTCACATCGATCTCTTATCAAATTTCTTTGTGCATGAATGATATTAACATTGATCCCTTAGCAATTACTCCTCTCTATTTACGAAAATATTATCAAAAAAAAAAAATAAATAAATAAATAAATAAATAAATGCATAAAGCAGACAATCTCTTATTTAAAACGATTTTACAAATTTTAAATAAATCCTGTGTTTAATTATTATTCAAAGTGTATGGTGATGGGCAGCGGAAATTCGTTCAGAGCCTTTGTTTCTTCTTACTGGCTAACCTTGTCTTCGACAAAATTACATGTCACTCAAATTGTTTATTTTTGTCGTTCATTTGTTAATTAACTGTGGATTTTTCGATTGTGTGGATTTGTTTCAAGTGTCATGTAAATCATTTGTGTAAAGTGCTGCCTTGTAGTCAACTGTACTTCCACAAACGTAAATGATTTTAAAATGTTATTGTTGTTTTCATTTACAACATCTGTTGACAATTTCACAGTTACTTATTAATCACAAATGCTAACAAAGAAAACAAATTAGTAAATATATTCAAGATAGATAGGGAAACAACAGAAGTCTGTTTTATAAACAAAAAAAAAAAAAAAAAAACAAAAAAAATCATAGTATTAGTTCAATTTCTAACTAAAGCAATAAGTGTTGGAGTTTAAAAAAAAAAAAAGAAAAAACCAGTTTTAAAATATTCAATTCAATTTATTGAATAATATGCTTATGTTGCTTTTAACTGACATTCAAACAACTTCCACTTTATGTTTCTTAACTGAATCATTCTATCAATTCTGCATTTTTGTTTTTTTTTTTTTTTGTTTTATTGACACAAATACAACCGGGGCGGCTTGTTGTTAATAGCGAATAAGTCCCTGTATATGTTCGTTTGCTCAATGGTTTGCCAAATCTACCTTGTATAAAATTAGGCCAAATATATTGCATCGTACAAGAAGGACATAATCAGCCATATATCATCGATATATTTGAGTGATTTGAATTAGTAGCTGAGCAGGTAAAGGATTTCGACTAACAACTCAATGGTCATGAGTTCAATTCTCAAGGTGCTGTAGAGTTGTCAATAAAATCTTAGATGCTGTTAGTGCCTTAAGGCTTTAGTAGCAACATTTATTTCTCTGGCGAAACCAAAACGATTGATAATGATATATGTTGCTTTGCTCAGAAGCAATTTAAAAATTAGAATAAAAATCGCGAGAAAATTTGTTTCGTTTTTTGCCGCTTTCTATGTTTCTATGTAAATTGTATTTTCCAATCTATTTTTTATTTATTTTTTTTTTCAATTCGACATAATTGCCAATTTGTTTCTAAATAACTTGTTTTTCTTATTTGGAAAAAGAAAAAAAAGAATATGGAAAAAGTATTATATTATATTATATTATATTATTCCGAATTATAATGGCAATTGAACCATTTGGTAATAAACATATAAAGTAATTTTAAGAAAACTAGTGACACAAGTTTAGTTCAATACACATGCGCTAACGTATTAATTGTTTCACAAATCTTTTAAAAATGTTACAACAACTACAACAACAACATTATCTCCAAAAAAAAAAAAAAAAAAAAAAAAAAAAAAAAAAAAAAAAAAAAAAA